TGAGAACTCTACTGAACAGTGTTGCAGAAATGGAAAGAAAAGTCTTTTGGATTTTAAAATGCCCACTAGACTTTTGTGGTTTCACAGTCAGCAAAACATTTGGTACTAAAAACTAAAGTTAACTGATGGAATTATGTCCCCAGTGCCATTGTGATCATGGTCTGCCTGACTTTAAAAAAAATGAAATCTGAATTGCTAAAATAGGCTCACTTAATAAGGATGATTTGTGCTTAAAGTTTTTCTCCTGAAATGTGGTATTCAACACTAAAAGGCCACTTGAATAGGCCTTAAAATATTGTAGAATATGGTTCCTCACAGGCTTGTCAGAAAGATCCTGCCTTCATTATTCCAGACTTCCTTTCTGAGAAAGACGCACGAGTACCTCTGTCTGTTTTCCAGTTAGGGCTGGCTAATTTCTTCCATGAATAGGAAATTCAGAGCAGCAAATAATAAGGCAGTCAGAGTGGTCATCACCACCAAGCTCCCACATAACCACGGCTGCTGCGCACCCAGTGCAGGTGAGACCAAGGAGAGCAGGAGGATCCTGCTCAAGACTCACGGAGCAAATCCTTCTGAGCTCCAGGGGCCACTGGAGAGCAGGCCGTCTGCAGACGGGGGCAGCGTTCCACTCTCCAGGTGCTCCTGACTGCTGAGCCACCAGGCCAGGCGAGGGAGAGCCCCGGCCCCTTCCTGGCCTGCAGACTCCCCAGAGCATTGGGCTAGAGTTTCAAGCTTGCCCACCGCTCTGACAAGCCCTTGATGGAAGAGAATACTGAGTACTCTGTGGTTTCATTGAAGTAAAAATGTGCATGTGAACAAAAAATACGTGCACATAGAAAAGCCTAACCGGGTTTTGTTAGGACGATGACATTATAAGTGACTTGAAACTTCAACATTTGGTAGGTGGTTTTTTGTTTTCTGCTTTAGAATGTCGTCACTAATTTTAAGTGCATTTTTCCAGCTAGAGGGGCAATGTGTGAATGCATTTTCACCGTAGAACGATAAAGTCAGACAACGTAGACACGGAGAGCCAACCAGGGCACCTCACTGCCCCTCACCACTCTCTCCCTCCCTAGAAATCACCCTTGCACTGTTGCTCTAGGGTATTTCCAGTGCATTTATTAAGGATAACCTATTTTAAGAATGTTAAGTAGGGCTCTTCCTGCTCTCCCATAGTCTCACCTGAGCCCAGAGCATAGTCCAGCAGTAGTGACAAGGACCCCACTTTTTCAAGAGGGGTGCTAGAGCCACCCTGCTCACGGCTGGCCAGGGTGGGGCTAATGCCTGCCTGTGAACTCAGCCCACCAGGCACCTCTAGCGTGTGGAGTGAAAGGCTGGGCACCAGCGGGGTGTGTGGACAGAACTCCCTCTGGATAGAGTGGCAGGGCTAGCATGGGGGGAGGTGCTCTCCTGCGTCACCCCCACCCGCCCCACCCCCCCAGCTGCCACACTGGCCTGTGGGTCTGCTCTCTGCTGCTGCTGCAGGCCCTGGTGAGGGGGCTTTGAGAAAGCTGCCCTTGTGAAACTTCGGCATTTGGTGGGTGTTTTTTTTTTGTTTGTTTTTTAGCTTTAGCATTTTTCCAGGTAGAGAGGCAACGTGTGAATGTATTCTCATCGTAAAACCATAAAGTCAGACAATGTAGACTTTAAGTGCAAAAAAGTCCAGAATGGCTCCTGAGCTCTGAGGAGTGCAGCTGGATTAAAGAGGGTGCAGAGGAGACCCCTGCCCCGAGGCTGCTGACTCCAGGTTGTCCTCGGAGAGGATGGGTCCAAGTGCCATCATGAGCCTGGAGCTGTGTTCTAGGACACCAGCCTCAGCAGTAGAGGGGTCTAGCACTCCTTGAGCAGGGCAGAGCCACATCCTCAGAGAAGCACAGGAGAGAGAGCCTCCACAGTCTTCAGTGGACAGGTGCCTCAGCCGGCCTCCACCCTGACCTGCCATGGGGAGGTGGCCACAGAGGCTGGTGTGGGCTGGCCATGTTGGGGAGATGGGAGATCACGCCGAACGGCCAAATGGAAGAGACGTGGGCTGTGTAGTCAATGAACTCAACACACCCTGGGCTGCCTCTGAAGGTGATTAAACAGGGAAAATAATTAATACTGTGAGTCAGCTCAGCTTTACAGAAAAATCTCAGTAAGTACGAAGTATTGAGGCGAGGCCAGGCATGAGGTGGGAAGACAGGATGGAGCGAAGGAAGGAGCGTAGGGGTGGCAGGAGGGAGGGAGGGAAGAAGAGAGGGTGCAGAATGGGTTCCCAGACACAGAGGCAGACGAGCCAGCACCACTGAGAGGGGCACCCAGCTGCCCGTGCACACAGCACCGTGGGCGGAACCGCAGTGAGGCCTGGAGAAACTATTTAAAAAATGGAAAAAGCCTGGACATACTGACAGCAGCAGAAATTCTGGGATTTCGTGGGTGACAGACGACAGAGGCTGAAGAGCAAATTATGACCTCAGGGCCAAAACTCAGTGCTGGAGCCAGAGCAGTCCCCAAGAAGGGTGAGGAGGTGGCCCCGCTCCCTCTGCGGAAAAGCTTTCGTGCTGGACACTGTTATGGGCTGAACCGTGTCCCTGGAGAATCCGTGCCCCCAGCGCCCCAGAGTGTGACTGTGTTTGCAGACAGGGCCTCCATGAGGCGGCCAGTTACAGTGAGGTCACAGCCCCCAGCGCCCCAGAGTGTGACTGTGTTTGCAGACAGGGCCTCTATGAGGTGGCCAGTTACAATGAGGTCACAGCCTGGCCACATCCTTATCAGAGGAGGAGACCAGGACCCCTACACTCACGGAGGAAAACACTGTGAAGACACAGGGAGAAGACGGCCAAGGAAAGAGTCCTCAGGGGCACCAGCCCTGACCTGGCCTAATCTCAGACTTCCGGCCTCTAGAAAAGAGAACAGGCTGGGCGCGGTGGCTCACGCCTGTAATCCCAGCACTTTGGGAGGCCGAAGTGGGCGGATCACAAGGTCAGGAGACAGAGACCGTCCTGGCCAACATGGTGAAACCCCATCTCTACTAAAAATATCAAAAAATTAGCGGGGCGTGGTGGACGCCTGTAGTCCCACTACTTCGGAGGCTGAGGCAGGAGAATCACTTGAACCCAGGAGGTGGAGGCAACACTGAGCCGAGATCGTGCTACTGCACTCCAGCCTGGGCGACAGAGCGAGACTCTATCTCAAAAAAAAACAACTGAGGGAGAACAGACTTCTGATGGCAAGCCCGGTCTGTGGAGCTTCATCCCGGCAGCCTGAGCTAGTGGGTGCCGGCCCTCAGACTAAAGCAAACTAGCCGAGAGACCCAGGCAAGCCTGCGCCCTCTCAGAATTCCACCTGTCCACTGGGTGTGCTGATGCCAGTTACAGAAGTCAGGGTGGGCAGTTGAGAGGGTCCTGTGTGTGGATCGTGTCACAGTGACAAGGTGCTGTGAGGGAGAGGAGGGCTCCCCATGGGTCTGAGTTCTTGCATCCGTTCTGGGTGAAATGACACTGTTTGGTGACACTAGGTGACGCTCCTTCTCTGCATTGGTGCCATCCTGGAGACATCAGTGGCTCTCACTTGGGAGCACGGCAAAACCACCCACTGGGAACTTTCTCCAGTCTGGGCTTCTCAAGCAAAGTCTGCTTTTTGTGGAATTCACCCCTTGACAAGGCAGATTTGCATCTGAAACACGGCCAGGTGTCTCAGCGCCCAGATTGAGATTCTCAGCATCTTACCTGACACTGACTCACTCTACACAATCTGTCACAGAGGAACGAAGGCTTGTGTTTCCATGAAGACTTGCAGTGATGTCTGTAATGCTTGGAGTTGACCAAACACTTCCGTGGTTTGTGCTTTTTCAGAATTCGGTGATCAGGGCTGATGTTTTGCAAACATGTTCAGCTATTTTCAAAAACAAAGTTGATAAAGGCCAAGAAAGTTAAGTAGTTTTCCCAAAATATGTTCCGCGTCTCTTTTTGTTTGTTTTGTAAAATAAAATGTGTTCAGAAGAGAAGCCAAGAGAATTCTTCCACTTTCTTGAAATGCCCAAGTCCGCTCTAGAATTTCGGGAGCTGCCTTGCGCACGGATGCAGTTTTTGTGTTTAATTGTCACTCTGTTGTGGGATTCTTGCTGTGGCTCTTTCTGAGTAACCTCTTCCTACATGTATGGCCAGGGAAGAGATAATGTCATGATCCTATTACTATTACAGCTATGATTCACTAGATTTTCAGAGTTACTATTATGATTAACACATGCTAGGCTCTTACTGCTAAACTTCAAGCCTTTTAGAACCAAAAGTGTAACACTTGCAGGGTCTTCCCTTAGCGACGAAGCACACTGAACCGTGGCTGCAGCGGACGCATTATCCATGCCAAGCGGCGTCTGTCAGTACTTGTAAGCTGGGCTAAGAGCCTGTGGAGGGGCAGGTGCATTGGAGGAGGCACACAGTGAGGGACGCTCTCCTCTTCTCATGACTGCTGCTGTATCTGTGCAGACCCTCCTTGTCCACACGTCCCACACCTCACCGACTACAGAAGAAACACCTCTTCTTCCCTTTCCCTTCCTTAGACAACAGTTGGCCTTATTTTCCAACAAGACTTCTCAAGCTCTCCTTGGCCTTAAGTGAGGGCCTCCAGGAGCCTGTGGGAAGGTGGCATCTCTGGGAAATCTCCAGAGAAGAAAAGTTGGAAGATGAAATAAGTAGAGGAAACATCCAGGGATTTAGATGTGGCCCAGCACACAGCATTGGAAGACCAACCGTCTAATATACAGATGAGAAAACAGAGGCTGCAGATACCCATTAAACATTTGAGAAAATCTTAAGCAGGTCTCAAATAAAATTGCACACAGTGGAGGATGTCTCAAAGAGGCATGCATTCACATAATTCAGGCTAAAACTAACTTTCTGATTTATAGAAATAAAAGGTAGTGAGCTTTGTGGAAATGTAAAGCTGCTAAGGCCGTGTTCTCATGAGCGATGAGTCCACCGGATTTCCGATGCCGTCACTCATTTCTCTTTGTATTTCAGATTGGGCTTCCCAATGATGGTTGTGTCCTGCACCATTGGGATGTGTTATCTCCTTGTGGCTCATGTGGTGCTGGGATGGAATGAATAGATATCCACCTGTCGCTCGAAGACCAAGGGGAAATTCATCCAGCACAACCCATCAGTCATAAAACTACCCTGACACCACTCTGCTTATAGTGGAGATGCTGCAGAGACACAGTGGAACAGACCGTGACGCTAACACTGATTCCGGTGGGTGCTGCAGTCCCCTGCCGCCTCGGTGTGTCCTTTCTCCCCAAGGACAAAATGTAGAACACACGAGGTAATTTGCTCTAGATTCCCCTCCAGAAAAATACACATGCTTCAGAACCCTTCTTACGATACACAAGAAAAGACGCACATCCAACCCAAATTGCTTGTTCTGTTTAATTGTTGTTTCTCCTGAGGATAAGCACAGTTTGGTTTTTCTTGTAATCACTTTTCATGTTAAAGTAATCAGGATTCGAATTGTATGCTCTCTGCAGATAGACTTTCTGGGAAAAGGTTTACTGCTCAAAAGGAAAACATTTTATATATTAAAATAAACTGTTCATTGACAAAAGGCTTTGGAGTAGTTTACATTATGTAAAATTGCATTTTATCCATTTATAGTTTTCTGTGCCGTTTTAAAGTTATTAATTAGAAGTCCAGAAATTTGACTTGCAGAAGATGACAGGTGTCTTTTAAAGGATATTTTACGTATTTAACAGCCTAGTGTAATGATTCTCTGTTTTGCAAGTGGTGCATGCTGTTTCCATCAGTGACACGGACGTGAGTGCTGTCGACACCCTCTCCCTGCAGGACACGGTGGCCCAGTCAGTGTTTATTAAATGCAGTTCTTTGGTGAAGCATTCCTTGTGAGGCAAGGGTAATGAGAACAGAGATCAAGCGGGGGCCCTGTGCCTCCTTTGAGGTCTCCTCCGCTCTGCCTTGTCAGTACCGTGGTTATGCCCCAGAGGAGGAAGCTCTTCTTCAGTTCCTGATGTTCTGTGCGTGACACCTTGCAATGAAAATGTTGGGGGACACTGCTCCAAAGTGATTGTGTGTCAAGCGTCTGACTTCAAAAGGTCCAGGATGCTCAGGGCACTGAGAACTGCAATGCAGGAGACCGTTCTGGTCCTGTTTCTGTCTCGGGCGCCCTGAGGATGGGTGTCCGTGTCGACTGTGGAGAGTCTATATTGTAGCGTGACAACCTGGTTCCTCCTTGAAGGGCTGGGAGTGTTCATGGTAGTATGCCCTTTCAATTCCTTGACAGCAAAGCTGATGGGCAAACCTATTTTTATTTTAAAATGTGGTATTGGACAACGTCACACAGAAGCCTCCAGACATGTGCAGCTGACCGGATGCCCTGGAGGAGCCCCTGCCATGGTCTGTCCATGGAAGGTTCCTCCCGCTGCTCCCGGGCTGCCCGCACTTTGCTTGGTCTCAGTGGATCTGCATGTCCTGAGCCAGTCACTGGAAGGTGTTGTTTCCTCTTCTGCCCCATGCCTGGTTGCCTGGAGGTGCATTGGTCTCCCACGTGTCCAGCTGCTTCCGGCTCTGCTCACGTCTGCTCTTCCATCCTTCCACGTGTCATCCCTGCGACGCTCAGGCCCGTCTCCCACCCACTGACTTCCTTCTTGGTGCCTCTCTCTGCTCCTCAGTCTTCGCTTCTCATTCTGCGGGCTGATTTCTCCCTCTGGATTGCACCCCAGCTTCCCTGAGGTTCCCACTTATGCCCCACCACCTTCCTCCACTCCCCTCCAGGACCTGTGACACCCACCCCAGGACCTGCCTGGGGTCCTTCCTCTCTGGTCTGTCTCTGACCCTCCAGCACTTCCCGTCATGTGCCCCAGGCTACCCTCTAAAATAAACCTTGCCCCTGCTGGAACCGCTCGTTCACTGGCCCGCGACATTTGACTGACGTCGGCCGCCACCTCCCTCCTCGCTTAGTTGTTTGTTTATGCTCTGAGATTTAACGCTCAACCAGCAAACTGGCTCCATGCTACCTTTACTGTTCGCGAACGCTGCTGATGTGAATCATCCCACGGGGATGGCTGGTTTTATTTTAAGATGAAGATCTCAAGCATCAGAGAGGCCCTTGGCACCGCCTGGCTCTTTGATTCCATTCCCTAGCGCAGCAGCCAGAAACCTGGCAGGAACAGGTGGCTGCTCACGTCGGGGAAGTGCATGTGACTGCAGCCAGGGGTGGTGTGATTCTTCAGAGCCAGTGCAAGGAAGCAGCTGTGGACCTCTGAGGGGGTGGGGAGGGGCAGTGACCAGGACCTGGAGATGTGGGAAGCTGTGTCCAGAGGGATTGGACGGGAACTGGGTCTTCTGCTAGAGCTGTTCCAGCATGAGATACTCAGTGGCCGGGGGGTAGGGGGCCAGAGGTGGGCATGGGAATCATCCTGAGTTGATGCCTTTCTTCCTGTGGCTTCCCTCTGGGCAGGGACTGAACTAGTTGGAAGCCAGAGGGCAGGAGGAGCAGATGGAAGACACTCAGCTTTAGGTGCCATTTTGCTACTCCACAGATGACAAGTCCACTTCTGGATAAAAAAGACACTAAAAGTACCATGAGCTTTTCTACCCAAGAGGCCGTGCAAGCTTGCCCAAACTCCCTCCTGACGCTGTCTCAGAATTATCAGGTGCCTATTAAACCCCGTGTCATTATGATACAAAAAGACAGCCCTGAAGGAACCAGCTGTGCCTTTGCTAGAAATGTTGGACTGCCACAGGCAGTTGTCCTTGCTAGAGCCTGCCGACGTCATGTGCATAAAGTCCTAAGGTCACAGGGACTGTGAGGACACACTTTTACAGTCCGAATCCACTGTGAAAATCCAGATGAAGGATCTGCTTGTCCTTCCAGACCTCCCTGAGCTCACCTGAGGGGCTGTCCCTTACCTGTGACACACAGCCCCACTCAGCGCGGCAGCGGCAGAGTCCATAGGAACCTGAGCTGCTTCCTCTGGCAACATGTGTGCCTTCCAGATCTGCTGGGGCCAGCCTTGTAAATGCAACGTACTCCATCACCATGCACATCTGACTTGATGGCCCGGTGGATCAGAGAGCACTTGGCTTGTGATACACTGCTCAATTTCTGTAGTCACTCTGTTTCTCCCAATCCGATCTTCAACCTGTGCCAAGGCCCTGTGGCAGCCTGGAGCTGCTTTTATACAGAAGACCAGTACTCCAGTCAGAACAGGAAGGCAGAGACTTCATTCAGATCCTGAGGTTTGCACTCCACTCTCCCAGCAAGGCCTGCCAGCGTCTCCCTACGGCGTCTGTGTCTGCCCTTGGGATGCCTGCAGCCATGCTGTGCTGTTTCACAAGGCCCAAGTGGCAGGGCAGCCAGCATGGCAATCTGGACCTGTGAGCTGCGTCTGAAGGAGACTTTCTACTTCTCTATCCAGGATGTATTAGTATCTTGTAAGAGCCCTGGAGACACTGATGGGTTTTGAGCAATGAATCTCGAGATAAATACACATCAGTTTGTGAGCCAACTAATTAAGGTGCGGTCCCTAGATGGCTTCAAGTGGAGAAAAGAGGGATGGGCTTGTGGGTTAGAGGGAGGTGGAATGAGTCTTCCCACTTGACTCGTGGTCAGGATTGTCTTTGCTAATGCCTATGCTTGCAAATAAATTTTAGGATAAGCTTGCTTTTGCCCATTTTACAACAAACTTGATCCGACGTGATAGAAATGACATTGAACCTACAAATGAACTTGGGAAGAACTGACAATTTTCCTATGTTGAATTTTCCATCCCTTGGACATGATATGTCTCTCCGTTTATTTAGGTGTCTTTTGTTTTCTTTCATCAACATCTCACAGTTTTCAGCATACATAACCTGGACAGCTTTGTTAGATTTATAATTCAATATTTAATGTATTTTGGAATGAAAGGTACTGTGTTTTAAATTTCAGTTTCCACATGCGCATAGTTAACATGTAGAAATGTGATTGATTTGTGTGTGTAGATCCTGTGTACTATGACCTTGCTGAGTTCACTTGTTATAGAATTTTAAAAAATTCCTTGGTATTTTTAATGTAGATCATTATGTCATCTATTCATAGGGCCACCTTCACTTCTCCCTCCCCAATCTTTATGCCTTTAATATATATTTTCGCCTTATTCTGGTGGCTGGAACACATGAGAAGGACCTCAGTCATTTACTGAACGAGATCTACTTGCAACAACTTCTTTCCATTTTTCTTCATTTTAGAAGAGTTTCATTTCGCCTTCATTCTTGAAGGAAGTCTTGCTAGATATAGGATTCTTAGTCGACAGTTCTTTCCTTTCAGACCTTGAAAAGTGCTCTGTTACTCCTTGTGCCCATGTGGTTGCTGATGAGGAATGTACTGTCATTCAAATTGATTTTCCCCTGTAGATAAGTTGTCATTTCTCTCTTGCTGCTTTCAGGAATTTCTTTTTATTTAACTTCAGGGATTTGATTATGTTGTGGCTTAGTATGAATTTCTTTGAATTTATTGTTTTTGAGGTTTTTTCACCTTTGTGAACTTTAGATTTCTTTTACCAAAATTGGGAAGTTTTCAGTTAATAATTATTCATATATTCCTTCAGCCCCATTCTCTTTCTCTCCTTCTACAACTCCAGTGATATAAATGTTGGATTACAGTCTTTAAGGCTCTGTTCATTTTTTTTTTCAGCATTTTCTCTGTGTGTTCATATTGGGTGAATTTTATTGATCTGACCTCAAGTTCATTAATTCTGTACTCTGTCATCTCCACGCTACTGTGAAACCCATTCAGCATGTATTTTTATTTTATCATTATTGTATTTTTCAGTTTTCATTTGGTTTATTTATTGCTTATTCATTGCCTATTGAATCATGTTGGTGACACAGGCTTTAGAATTCTTGTCATATAATTTGGACAACTGACTTCTCCCGGTGTTGGCATCAGGTGATGGTGTGTGTGTTTTTATCCAAGTTCTGATTTTCTAGTTCATTGCATGACAGATGATCTATAATAATATACTGGAAAAACTGGCTAAGGAGATTATGGATTATATATGAAAGCTGTATTTTAGCTAGCAGTCACCCTTTTTAGGTTTGGTACAAAGGTCCTGGTGTACTTTGAGCTGCAGCTCCAGTGACTGTCTCGCGTTGGGAGCTGATACCATGCGGTTTTGGTCTGCTTGCTTTC